GTATGTTCTGCATGGAGCACTGGGTGTTATACACAAACAATGAATCATGGAACACTACATCAAAAACTAATGATGTAATATATGGTGATTAACATAACATAATAATAAAAGAAATAAATAAAAGAAACTAAAAATGACAAAAACTCCATCACATGTATTCCAAACTAAGCCCCACGGCTCAACAAAGACCTGTGATTAGAGCTTGTCTTCCCTTGTTGCTGGAGACTGTCCACTGTCCCGACTTCACAGCCAGGGGTAAGAGGGCACCCCCTTGGCTCTGTCTGAGTGCTGAGCAATGATGGAGTACATAGCTTTTGCAAAGGAAGCCAAGGGGTAGTCCCTGGATTAGGCGCTCACCCTATCCTAGAAAGTCAAAGCTAAACTATACATCAGGGAGACTGGCAGAGAATCTAAGGGGCTCACCACTGGGTCAGCATAGTCACTACACTTGAAATCATTTCCTGGCTCTTGTTTCCTCTATGACAAGAATTGGGGGAGACAAAGAACCCTTCAAGCTCATTAGCCTGGTAGCAGGACAAGGTTCTCAGTAGTCCCAGGTCTCACCCAACTGACACAGCCCTGGATACAGGGTCACCCTAAAGACCACAAATTGCCCTGGGATGTTCTCAGGACAAGCCTCACCTATGCAGCAATGGGAGAGGTGCCAAAACTTGTCATACCTTCTGTCTGCTAAGCAGAAAAACTTAATGGGGTCAACTTAGTCCTCCCCGCAAAGATTTATGATTGTCCCAGTACTCATCCAGAAAACAAGATTTCTCGATGACACAGGAAGATCATAGTTCTACTATGATTCATTTGCAGATAAGCAAATGTCTCTTACCTAATTTTTAGCCCAGCTCAAGGCTATTTTTTTGAGGTTATAATATTCTCCATTTCTAGTCTCCTACCTCCTGAGAGACTGGGGCAAATATGTACATATGTCTCTCATGCATCATTATAAAAATACATCTGGGACTGGGGCGCCTGACTGGCTCAGTTGTTTCAGCATCTGACTTCAGCTCAGGTCATGATCCCAGGGTCCTGGGATAGAGCCCCACATCAGGGTCCTTGCTCCAGCCAGGGAGTCTGCTTCTCTCTCTCCCTCTGCCCCTCTCCCCGACTCATGTTCTCTTCTTGCTTGCATTCTCTCTCTCAAGTAAATAAGTAAAATCTTTGTAAAAAAATACATCTGGAGGGCGCCTGAGTGGCTCAGTTGGTTAAACGACTGCCTTCGGCTCAGGTCATGATCCTGGAGTCCCGGGATCGAGTCCCGCGTCGGGCTCCCTGCTCGGCGGGGAGCCTGCTTCTCCCTCTGACCCTCCCCCCTCTCATGTGCTCTCTGTCTCAAATAAATAAATAAAATCTTTAAAAAAAAAAAAATACATCTGGAATATATGAAATGAGTGACTGAATACTCGCACCAACCTGAGCATTTCCAGAGCCTGAGACTCAAGCACCTTGTCCCTGGCCCAATTTTAAGTGCCTGGTTATTTTTCACCTCAAAGCATCACTCCAATGGAGAACAGCCAGTTTCCAAGAGTCAGAGAGGGAAACAAATATCCTATACCCTCAGCCTTTACAAATGGTAACCTAGGACAATCGTATCATGCTGGTGCCTCCTTGAGTAAACATGAGAGAATACAACATAAAGATTGAAGTTGGCCACCAAGCTGAACATACTAAGCTTAATTTAAAATTGAACTTCAAACAAGTCAGCTTCTAAGACCAAAATGACATCTGCCAGTTCCACAAATTTTCAAGACATAGGGAAAACGAACTGTGAGAACCAAGACCCTGCCAAGTAGAAGGCTCAAGCCAAGCCTTATTGTTGCCACACTTGGGACACTCCTTTGCGTTTTAAAGATACCCCCCTAAAAAAAAACACATTGCAATTTCTGGGAAAATACTCCATGAGGTAGAAAATACAGCACCTTGGGAAGGTTTCAAATGGGCTTTCCAAGGTGCAAGGCATAATTTGACACATTCAGAGGGAACAAAGAGAAGCTGGGTTAGTTCTTACTGTCTGGGAGAGAAGGTACATCAGAGTTGGTGAGGCAGGAGAAGGTTTTGAGGAGAACTCAGGGTTGCATCAGGTAGATTAGCTTACTCTGGGGTTAAATTGTTTGCTGGGTCAGGTCCAAGGACGGTTACAAGAAAATAAAGGAACAGGTCCCACTCACTCTCAGGAAGGCCATTCAAACTCTGTTCCCGTCTGAAGACAAGGGTGGCCACACCAGGCTGGAGTGAAATCGGGTTCTAAGAGAGGCAGGGGAAGGAGGAGCTGACCAGTGCACAGGATGATGGTGGAGAGCAACATTAACACTCAGTCACAAACCTAGAAGGTGGAGACGGAAGATCAGATATCATTGCAAAAGGACAAAGGAGAAGTCAACAGTAAATCTGAGAAATCCTGTAGACAAACCCAAGACAGGACCCAGAAATAAATATCCTATTGAGAAAGAAACAGAAAGCCATATTATGAGAGGTAAAAATAACTCCCTGAGCCTTTTATAATCCTTTCACACAGGCTGTCACATTCCCATGGAAGGACTTACCAGGAGGAGGCACAGTCACTGCAAGAAAACACCTGTTTTTTCTATGCAGCCCTCATCACCACCTTTCAAATACAAGTTCCAGAACTTGAATTTTCTCCATTTCTCCCCTACTCTGCACTTTTCTTACATAGTGAAAAGAATAAAGAAAAGTTCCAGGGTCATCATGGCTGCTCCATCTTTTTTTTTTTTTTTTAAAGATTTTATTTATTTATTTATTTATTTATTTGAGAGAGAGAGAATGAGAGACAGAGAGCATGAGAGGGAGGAGGGTCAGAGGGAGAAGCAGACTCCCCGCGGAGCAGGGAGCCCGATGCGGGACTCGATCCTGGGACTCCAGGATCATGACCTGAGCCGAAGGCAGTCGCTTAACCAACTGAGCCACCCAGGCGCCCCATGGCTGCTCCATCTTAAGCACTGGGTAGGCTTAGGCAAGTTTCTTAACTTTACTGTGCTTCAGAAGAGTTTCCCATCTGAAAATGCGGACAATGTTACTATCCTAGAACAGTACCTGGCACACAACTGGGGAGTCAAAGGAAGGCTGTTTTCCCTCACTCTTGTTCAGAGACTCCTTGCCCTCAGGCCACATGGCGGGGAGGGGTCCACACCTAAAAGTAGCAACCAGTCCCGACTTTATGGAATACAGCAAGCAACCCAACACTGTTCAGGGATGCAGCATCTTGGAGATCAGGTAAGTCAACTAAATACATTAATTAGTCTCCTCATTTAAAAAAGGGATTCATTTACATTTCAAGAAGAAGTTTATGTTTAGTGCTATAAATATCTGACTCTGAGACCCTCTGGTCACATGGGAGGAGGAAGGAAGAAGAGGCACATGGAAGCAAAAATACATGGGAGGATTAGGTCTGAGTGCCAACATGGACGTTTGTGTCGAGTATTAAACACATTGGTATCTATTACCTCAGCAACCCGACTTCTCTGAATTCATAAGAGAAAATAGAAATGACAAAAATATAGGTTAGTGATACTGTTAATTATAGTAACACAGTAATAACAAGCCTCCAACTTTGGGAAAGTACTGAAAAATGGAGAGTATATTCACAATCTTTTGTTGAATATTAGATTCACAAAGAGATTTTAGTGATGTGGAATGATGCATAGGATTTTTGAACTAGGTCTAGAACCATTGATAATGTGTCTTGAAGTCTGTGAAACCATGTCTGAGTGTGTGAACATGCCACAAGGTTATCAGCAATAACATTAAAAATTAATTCTGTTCACCTTTTCTGTGTTTTATATGTTTTTGTTAATATGACATCCTATATTTTATTCAGAAAAGTAACACCTAAGAAGTCACAGAAGTGTTAACAGTACCAGTAATTAGATCATTCCTGTCATGCTGCTACTATGTACATGAAGCCCTGACTCAGTGGTCAGCTCTATTCTTTTCACCAGATTTTAAAGAAATTAACAGCCTAAATTTTAAACTCACTCTCTTCCAAGGTTCTCTGGACTTTGTAGACAATGATAAATGGCTACCTGGTTTTACAAAGAGAAGCTCAGATGTAGGTAAGAACTCCCCTAGGCTCACCATCAGCTGTGTGTTCAAACTTGGCCCTGTGACTTAACATCTCTTTAAGCCTGAGTCTCTTCATCCGTAAAAGATGTGTAACAACAGTACACACATCAGGAGGGTGTTGTCTGGATTCAAGGACATGTGTATGAGGTGTTCAATACAGGATCTGGCATGACTCAACACTCAAAAATGTTAACTGCTATATCATTCAAGATCCAACCCATCAGCCACAAACAAAACCCCACCACCCAAGCCCCAATCCAAAGCTTTGTTTACACTAAAAAGGATATAGAAAGTAAACATCTGTTTACTTCTGTTGAAGTCAGCAAGAATTTAATGAGCCCCAGATGCAGGACACAGATTGTACCCAAATAGAACCATGCTTCTTTTTTTTTTTTTTTAAAGATTTTATTTATTTATTTGACAGAGAAAGACACAGCGAGAGGGAACACAAACGGGGAGTGGGAGAGGGAGAAGCAGACTCCCTGCTGAGCAGGGAGCCTGATGTGGAACTCGATCCAGGGACTCCAGGATCATGACCTGAGCCGAAGGCAGTCGCTTAACCAACTGAGCCACCCAGGCGCCCCTAGAACCATGCTTCTTGAGCAAAGGGAGCAAGTGTGGTGATCGGATGTTCCTAGATAGGTGGCAACACACAATGTAAGACAAAGAGCTGGGATAGAGTCTACAGGAGAAAAACCAACAGGAGCCCGGCCCAAAAGAGAACTTTCCCCAGGGCCAGAAGCCCAGAAGAGTATTTTAAGGAGATGAAAGAAGGCACAGGTGATGGAAAGTCTGAGAGAGCTCAGTGTGTGTGTCCAAGGACAATCACAAGGGAGGAGCATTGCCATGTGAAATCCCAGGTCAGTTCTCAAGAGGGAGCCAATCCAGAGTCCCTGAGAACCTTACATTTACTTAATTTCAGTGCAGCAACCACTCGGGCCGCCATTACTTAGCCCAACGGAAAGTCCAATAATCAATGCTAAAACGCCCAGGAACACCACTACTACCACAATGATAATTATCAATTTCTGGAGAGGATAAGAGAAACAAATCATTATTACAACCAAAATGCAATTCATCCAAAACCCAACATCTCTCACCTCTACATTGAAAGCCTCTTATCAACCCAAATAAGAAGTCTACAGCTCTACATAAACACATTCATTCTATTAGGATATTTTATATTTCTTAAATGACTTCCTGGCTATCAAGGCCAGCAGATGGAAATATGGAGCTTCTGTGGGCTCTTGGCTCACACTTAAGTTTTGCACATGTGGACAGATAAAAAATCAACTACCACAGGGTCTCCAAAGCAGCAATAGGCGAAAGTATCAAGTAGCCAATTTTTCCTTTTCAAGAAGTGTATGTTTTTGAATAGTCCTAATTTCAAATTTCTATGTCTCTCGCTAAAGCACATGCCCACCCATCAGGCCCAGTCTAGTGACTGGCGATCAGAAAGCAGGATTGCAGTCCTATATTGAGCCAACCTGGATTCATCAGGTTAAATAATTTCCCAACTCCTTGAATCCCTGCACAAGCAATAGGTAAAGTTGGAAGAAAATCGAAGAACTGAAGAACAAAAGTATCAGCACCCAGGAGAATAGTCAGCAAAGAACCGTCTAAAAAGCACTAGCCACCAGAGCTGGCTACCACAACAGACAGAGAAGTTTAAAAGTCCTCAAGCAACAGGGGCACCAGAAGAGGGGTAAATATGCTGGTATGGGGGAAAGAGCAAGAAGGAAACTGAATTTGAATCCCAATCCTATACTTACTAGATGCCCTGAAGCCAATCACTTAACCTCTGACCCTCAACTGTTTCACATATAAGTAGGAATAACAGGTGCACCATAAAATAGGAGGTAATGTTGCATGGCGATCAACACAGCATTGGATTCACAGTGGAGAAAAGGGGGGTGGGCTTGGTTAATGGAGTGGAAGAGACTAAAGTTTCTGAAGAACAGAGGAGTCAAGTATAACATCTGAAAGGATCATGAGCTCCGTCCAGAAGTCTAGCAGCAACACTGCGCAACACATCCACCCTGCAGAACTGTCTTCAAGTGTGTGTTCTTGCGTAGAGAGCATGTGAGCCAGATCCATGCAAGGCACACGCTGGGAGTGTGGAGGGAGGGACAGTCACTCTCTGGAAAAGGCTGACGTGTGTTGGGATGAGGCCAGGACAGAAAGGGAAGGCACAGGATCAAGGGTACACATAGAGAGGACCAGAGAGGAGAAGTAAGCCAGAACAGTGGAGACTAAGGCACTCACCTTCCAAGCTTCACTCTGAAACTTGACAGCCTTTTTGGTATCTGCCACGGCCCACTCCACAAAGTCCACTGACTGGTCCATGTTGTTCTTGATATGGTCAATCATGGCTCCCTTTCCCCAGATGCAAGAGGTGGTGGCAGCAGAAACAGAGACAGGCACAGGGAAGAGAGAAAGAGCGAGAGACAGCAAGCAGAATGGACTCTCCTCTCTGAAGGCAGCCGGAGAGTCTTACCTTCCGGGCCTGACCCTGGTACTTCATGGCTCTTTTTGTTTCTTCCTGTGCCTTCTCCACATGGTCCACTGTGTGCATGACATTCAGCTCTATGTTATCTAGCATCTCACCCTGCAAAGAACAGACATGAGTCACACCCCATAAACCCACACCAGGAGAGTTGGAGCTCACATGGGGACGGGGCTCTTGGTTATAATCCCCGGTGCAAAGAGGAGCATCCAGAAGTCTTCTGTGGGGCACATGTTCCATCTTACATGGGATTACCTATGGCTCCCCAGGCCCTGGTGGTGGTCACTCACTCAAGCAACACTCAGTAAATTACTTCTCTGGGACAGGCACTGCATGGAGCACATGGAGCACAATGTCGAGATGCCTGGCAAATACATGTTCTAACAGATCCCACCACCACCATTCTGTTTTTAATTAAGCATATGAGGAGAGAAACCATAATAAGAATATCTTAGGGCATTATAACTGGGATGCTGGCCTCTTCCTAGTCGTGCAGACCTGAACCAAGTTCATTTGGCCTGAGGCAAGTTTGTTGCCTAGTTCTTCAGAACAGACTGGCCAACAGGAGCTGCTCCGTAAACATCTAAGGTTGGGAACATCTGCTTTCTCCAGGAGAAACTCCCAGGCCCCTAAGGTGACAGACATGGGGTTTACCTAAGCTGTCTGGTTACATCTTATATCTCCGTGGTTATTAAGAGACAGTGATCTCTTGGCAAGATCCTTTTTTCAGTGTCACCCATGAAATTGTTCCAATCAGGAGACTGTTTTAAGTCATCCTCATTAAGAACCCACATCCCCTTATTTATGTGTCTGTTTTTGTGCCAGTACCATGCTGTCTTGATGATCACAGCTTTATAACATAGCTTGAAATCCCAGGCAGTATGATACCCCCAGATTTAGTTTTCTTTTTCAACATTTCCCTGGCTATTTGGGGTCTTTTCTGATTACATACAAATTTTATGATTGTTTGTTCCAGCTCTGTGAAAAATGTTGATAGTATTTTGATAGGGATTGCATTGAATATGTAGATTGCCCTGGGCAGCACAGACATTTTAACAATGTTTATTCTTCCAACCATGAGCATGGAATGTTTCTCCATCTCTTTGTGTCTTCCTCAATTTCTTTCATAAGTGTTCTGTAGTTTGTATATTACAGTTCCTTTACAACTTTGGTTAGGTTTATTCATAGGTATCTTATGGTTTTTGGTGCAACTGGAACAGAATAGAGAGCCCAGAAATGGACACTCAACTCTACGGTCAACTAATCTTCGACAAAGCAGGAAAGAATATCCAATGGAAAAAAGGACAGTCTCTTCAATAAATAGTGCTGGGAAATCTGGATAGCGACATGCAGAAGAATAAGACTGGACCATTCTCTTACACCAGACACAAAGATAAACTCAAAATGGATGAAAGACCTCAATGTGAGACAGGAATCCATAAAAATCCCAGAGGAGAACACAGGCAGTAACCTCTTCGAACTCGGCCACAGCAACTTCTTCCAAGACACGTCTCTAAAGGCAAGGGAAACAAAAGCAAAAATGAACTACTGGGACTTCATCAAGATAAAAAGCTTCTGCTCAGCTAGGGAAATGGTCAACAAAACTAAGAGGCTAAAACCCATGGAATGGGAAAAGATATTTGCAAATGACGTATCAGATAAAGGGCTAGTACCCAAGATCTATAAAGAACTTCTCAAACTCAACACCCCCCCAAAAAATAATCCAGTCAAGAAATGGGCAGAAGACATGAACAGACAGTTCTCCGAAGAAGACATACAGATGGCCAACAGACATATGAAAAAATGCTCCACATCACTTGTCATCAGGGAAATACAAATAAAAACCACAATGAGATATCACCTTACACCAGTTAGAATGGCTAAAATTAACAAGAGAGGGAACAACTAATGTTGGTCAGGTTGTGGAGAAAGGGGAACCCTCTTACACTGTTGGTGGGAATGCAAGCTGGTACAGCCACTCTGGAAAACAGTATGGAGTTTCCTCAGGAAGTTAAAAATAGAGCTACCCTATGACCCAGCAATTGCACTACTGGGTATTCACCCCAAAGATAGAGATGTGAAAAGAAGGGGCAACTGCATCTCAATGTTCATAGCAGCAATGTCCACAATAGCCAAACTGTGGAAAGAGCCGAGATGTCCTTCACCAGGTGAATGGATAAAGAAGGTATGATTCGTATATACAATGGACTATTACTCAGCCATCAGAAAGGATGAATACTTACCATTTACATCAACATGGAGGGAACTGGAGAGTATTATGTTAAGTGAAATAAATCAAGCAGAGAAAGGCAATTATCGTATGGTTTCACTCATATGTAGAATATAAGAAACAACACAGAGGATCATAGGGGAAGGGAGGAAAAACTGAATGGAAAGAAATCAGAGACAGAGCCAAACCATGAGAGACTTTTGACTCGGGGAAACAAACTGAGAATTGTGGAAAGGGAGGGGGATGGGGGATGGGATAACTGGGTGATGAGCATTAAGGAGGGCATGTGATGTGATGAGCACTGGGTGTTATAAGCAACTAATGAATCATTGAAAACTACACCAAAAACTAATGATGTACTACATGTTGGTTAATTGAACTTAAATTAAAAAATTAAATTAAATTTAAATATAAAAGAACCCACACCCCCAATTAGAAGGGAAACAAGAGGTGCTGAGGCAGAAGGAGGTAGTACTTGACTGAGCGCATCAAAACCCACAGTAAGCAGAAGTGAGGCCAAAGGAGCAGGCAAGACGACAAGGATGAACTGGCACTCAGGAGGGCATTCCTTTCCTGGGACACTGGGATCGTGTTACTCCATTATGAGGATTCCCGATGATTCCCCCACCACACCTCATCCGACTTTCCAGTCCTCCCTTCTCAGGAGGACCTGAGCTTTCCTCCCTCTCCCCAGGGTGGTGCCCACTGCCAGTTACCTGATTCTTCACCAGCATGGTGATGTCCATAAACATGTCATGAACCTTGATGCTGCTCTCCAGCCTCACAATGTCCTTGTGCTGCCCCTCAATCTCACTGAGGGCTTGCTTGGAAATCTGGGAGTCCATGATCTACAACAGGCCACACAAAGACCAATCATCAGCCGGCACCCCTGCCACAGACCCCACTCGCACTCCGGCCAAGCCCCCTGCCCCCCTGCACCTTCAGACCTTCCCTCACCAACCACAGAGAGCTCCATGGCAGTCTGCCCTCTCCACGAGAGGGACTTACATTCCAGTTCCTGGACATTCAACCCAGAAATGAAGATGGCAGGTTTCCCACTCTCCAACATCTCCTCCAGCTCCTCATCTGTGGTCTTTTTGCCAGCTTTGTAACAAAAGAAGTAGAGCATCAAATATAAGACCAAAGCACACCAATTCAAAAGTCCCCTGTAAACCAGGAACAAGGTAACTTCACTCAAAAGACCATGCCCTGTACAACATACCCCCAAAAGCTCCTGACCTGTCCTGCTTCTGATTTCTCCCATAATCCAAACCACCCTTAGCATTACAGATGGTTACCTTCTTGAAGCACATATCTGACCACATCTCTTCCTAGCTCACAAAGGTGACTGGCCCGTTCACTGTGCCTGGGAGGACCAGAAGCCAGTTGTGGGCGAGCCCTCCCTCCTCCACCTAACCCCACAGTGCTTCTCCCAAGGGATCCTTCTTCCAAGGCTGGACAGTGGCAGCACTCCTAAACACACTTGCTCTTCTCTGATGACATCCTGGTTCACACACTTCCTCCACTTGGAGCCCGTGGCACCCTGCAGCACCCCAAGTCCCTGAAGGTCATGACTTTTATAATCAGTCTATTCCTCACAACACCCAGCGCCATCCTATAATCTCATAAATGTTCTTTGCTGTCAAAGACACAACAAAAAATATCATGAGTCCCCAGGACGGCAACTGTCAGCAAGTGCCTCCCCTCCATGTGAGGCAATGTTGGCGCCCAC